TACATAAAATGTTCTTGCCACAAATGGCTGTCAAGAGGTAACTGAAGCAAACAATAATAACAATGACTCATGAAACTTTTACTCGGGCCTTACTATGCGTAGATAGCAAATAGTGCATTAGTAACCTAGGTTACGAGAGTACCTGTTAAAATAGGAAATAAATGCCAATTGTGTTGACGAAAATAGAAAGCGACTTACTTGCCTGAAATTCTATGGTTCTTTTATTGGGAACCTAGTTAAAGGCTTCTTTTGTCATTTGTTTATACGAGTCAGGTGTTTGAGTTGTGTTGGTTCCGAAGCTGAAGTGTCCCATTACCCATAAAATGAAGTTGATGGAATTTATGAGGTTACAAAAGAATATTAGCGTTTGCCGCTTATGTACAGAGTCTCTAAACTCGGAGAACGCGACACCTTCCTGTTGCGAACACGTCTTTCACATTAACTGTCTCAAAAAGTGGACTGAGGAACACAAATCAGAGAGCCATTGTAGATGCCCTATAGAAACTTGTGGTCGGACTTATTCGGCTATAAGTGTTCGGAATTCAATTGGTGGTTCAATACGGGAGAACATATCGCTTACTGTTGAGAACCAGTGTCCTATTTGTTGTGAGGAAATCCAACCCCCCGTCGCAGTTCCAGAATCCTGTAACCATCAGTTTTGTGTTACGTGTCTAAGCGAATGGGCCAAAGTTCGTCATGAGTGTCCTCTTGATCGTGGTCCTTTTGAACTGATGCTTCTATCTTCATACATTGGTGGGCCAATCATTGAGCGGGTAGGATGCAATTTAGTTTTTGATGGAAAAGGGGTATTATCCATTTATTTTCATTGTTTTACGTTGGAATCTGCTCGTAGTAATTCGATTCGACTTAGCGAGAATACACATTGCGTCTAATGGTGTTTTCCTGGCTTGTCGTCTAAGTTTATAATAGGCAGTTATAATCTTCGATGGGTGATTAAGTTATCCTAAGTGTCCGAAATTTTCTTGTCAAATGTAAGTTTGGATTTTAAATATGCTAGAGGCCTCCTCCACCTGCTTTTGTGCCACCGCCGGAGGAGGAGGACACTACGGAATGTGAAATTTGTCATTCGCCGGAAGATGAGGCATATCTGCTATTGTGTGATGGTTGTGACAAAGGATATCACACGTACTGCTTGCCCAACCCTCTTTCCGAAATCCCAGAAGGAGACTGGTTTTGTCCTAATTGTGAATGTGACCGCGTTCAAACGCGGCAAGGGGAGAATTCTATGGCTGTCATGCCCTCTCGTCGCACTGGACGCCGATCGCGATTTCGTAATCTGCCTACTGACCTTTCGGCGGAGGAGATCAGTAATTCAGAGGCGTCTGAAGACGGTGGAGATGTAGAAGATATGGGTTCCTGTTTCTACCTTTCTACACAGTCTCAGGAACGTCTTACTCACATCGCAGAACGACGCCATCGGGGCACAGGTCTGTTGCGTGATCTCATTGAACACCTCTCAGTCAGAGCTGAGAGAGAGCAGCAAGAGCGGCGGCGCAACCGAAGACTGCGCCAGAGGCGTCGCGTACATTTGGGGGAGTCTTTTAGCGAATCGCAACTTTCGGCACGAAGTGTTGCTCCATTACCTTTGGTGAGTCATTTCGGCTCCTTACAGTTTTGAGGGACAAAGGTTTATATTTTATGGTCTTACAATATTTTATGTAAATGTGTTCTAGATTACTTGAGTTGGTTGGTAGAACCATTTGTTTTGAGCCTGAAATATTTCCCGACTTTGCATGGTATGTTGGGTAGTATCCATTCTTTATTGTTGCCATTAATATTCCTTTACCTCTCCTACTTTATGAGCACCTTTGGGTTTTTCATGAAGATCGACTATCTTTTAGTCACATTTTGAAGCTGATTTCCATTTTATGGTGTCCCGAATCGGCGTCGTTTAACTTATAGGACGTTTTTTTCTTTAGATTCTAGTTGGTCGTCGCTCATAGTAAAATAATTTTTTCCCCACTCTTTTAAGATTAAACAAATCGCTTTAAATAGGTTGTCGGTCCTTCACTTATTTTCACGTTTGAAGACGCATATCGTCGTATCTCATTGCTCCAATTGGCAGAATTTTGCATATCTCGTTGCTAGTTGTTCTTGTTTTGATCTTTGCTGTTTTTTTTTTGTTTAATGGAACGCGTAGTATTTGGAGGCTTTTTATCATGAACGGCGTAAAGTTCATTTTAGGGTGCCGCGGTCACTACCAGCACCAACAAGGGGAGCTCAGGCGGGAA